CCTTCTTTGGATTATTTCCTTATACTTTCCTTCCGAATACCCCGCTGCAAAAAACTATTTCTTAGACCGGTACCATTTCTTCTTCTATATGATTTTGCTAGAAGAAGGTAGTTTTCTTTTGTTCACAAAAACACTATGATCACTTTTGTACCCAGCATATGCATGGAGATGGCGTCCTTTGTTCAAAGCAGGAAAAAAAATCCGCGTGCATAATTTTTCCAGGGCTGCGTGGTCAAAAACGCAGTACTAGACACGTACTTTTTTTTTCAAATTGAAAATTTTTTTTAAAAAGGAGGGAGAGGAGGATATAACCAGGGGCATCATATATGGAGGGGGGGTTGTGGGTGTTCGTTCTTTTTTTTTTTTTTTTGTTTCTTCTTCTTGCTCATTAGCTATGGCTGCTCAAGTCGAGACTTGAGAAACGTACAAGTCTTACGTATACTTTTCCTTGCTTTTTTTTTTTTTTTTCCTTTTATCTTGCGACCTCACGATCGAGCGCGAAATTATAGAGGGATGCGAAAGGTCTTGCACGTACATACTTTATATAATTTTAAACTTTCTAGGTACACGCACTAGTCGTTGGCTTGGTACCATGGTATAATCCCGAGTTCGCAAGATATTTTATACATACACCTAGGTACATACACACCGGTACCTCTTTCGTTCTTCCGTTCTTTCCTTTTTTTTTCCCCCTGTATAATTGGCGGTTGGCTACTAGGCTGTTCTCGCTCTACGAATGGACTGGCTGTATGTCACGTTTGATACTATGTTGGCGACGGCTTAGGACAGTCATGTGCATGAGCTTTCCAGTGCACATGGTCAAGTCTGTCTATCACTTAACCTCGAGCCCGATCTATGTGAAACAAACAAGCGAACAAGCCTCCGTCGCGATCGAAGCGCCTCGAAAAAAGCACTGACTATAATAGCCAAGCTCGGGAACCGGAACCTTTCCCACGATCTAGACCCTTCGACACGCGTTTAATAAAATCCGGTATTATACATGTGTCTCTCATTATCTAAGTTATTAACCCGCTAGATCAAAGCGCTAAACGCCCACCCCGTGCAGCCGTAAGCAAAGCTCCTTCGGTGCCAATGCTCAAACATCCCAAGCCTCCATTAAAGGAAGGCGTTAGCGAATTTCGCCAAATGGCTTTTTACTTTTGTGTAAAAACTTTATTTTGATGTGCTACGTAGTTTTGGGGATATAGGATTTTAATTTTTTTTACCATCCTTGTTGTTTTCCGTGGTTAGACGGAGGGGTGTGTGTATTTGTTAGCGCTGAGCAAATGTGTGTCTCAACATGTACAGCTGTAGTTTGGTGTGTATAGACTCAGCTGATCAGATGTTTCTTGGGCTAAAACATTTATTTCGATTTTTCTTTCTTTCTTCTCTCTTTGTGATATTACTTTCCCCCTTTTCTTTCTTTCCTTGGTTATTGACAAAAATGAAATATGTGTAATTTTTGTTTTTGGAGGTTGTTGAGAATAGCGAGGTCCAAGATGTTTGGGACCGGATATGTATATCCGGATACCCGTTATTGCTCGAAGATCTTCATGCAAGTATTTCGCGGCAAGGATCCCGTAAGGTTGTCGTCGATAGCTAGTGCGTGCCGGAATCCGATTGACGTCATCATATGCATAAAGAAACCCAAGTGGTGGAGCCGGTGACCGTGCCCTTGCCAGAACAAGCTTACCATCCCCCCAGGATTACGGTGCTAGTTTATGCCCTCGGGGAATTATTTTGTCTCGCACTTGGAGCGATTGCATTGAAGTTGAGTTTATACAAAGTAATTTCACTGTTTGTAATCTTGGATATACACTATACCAGTGTCCTTTTGGGGGGAGAATCACTAGCCAACAGATTGAATAAAGCGATTCCCAAAATTCTCAGCCTTGCCGTTCCCGCAGGGGTTACACCCGGAAACGAGACCAGGTTTATATTAGACAACCGAGTAAAAAGAATCCTCACGTCGGTGAAGACCGCAGTTGGACGAAAAGTGTTGAAACTGTTGTAATTCGAGCCCGGCAAAACATTCCTTTACTTCCCACCCTCGGCAAAACCTGCCATTGCCTTTCTTGTATTTTTTCCCGCCGCTCAAAAATCTTTTAACCTTCTGCGACACCAAGGAAAATCTTCAATCCTCAACATCAACCCTTCAACAAATCCCCAATCACAATCATCAAAAATGGCGCCCGTAAAACGTCCCCGCGCTGCATCAGCACCAAAGAACTCCCTCTCATCCTCCAAAAAGCGAAAACTGAACTCATCCTCATCATCGACCACAGATCCCAAACCCTTCACACCGGGAAAACTCACCTCCTCCAAACGTCACAAGAAACCTACGACCACCCCATCGACTACTACCGCAAAATCCGCGGCCTCTTCAAGAATCCGTAAACCTCATAAGAAACCGCTGAAGGACCGCTACACGGATGCCCAACTCAAACTTCCAACTCTCAATGGCATCGTCCCCGCCGGTGTTACGAAGCCACGTGGGAAGAAGAAGGGGAAGGTGTTTGTGGAGGATAAAGAGACCATGATGGATATCTTGGAGTTGGTGAATAACAGTGTTGATGGAGTTATTCAGGGTAAAGTTGAGAAGAATCGACGATTGGAGGTTATAAGAGAGCAGAAACGGAAGGAACAGGAGAGGAGGGAGAAGGATAAGGAGGCTAAGTTGGTAGGTTTTTGAATACTGCCGGGTGTTTGATGGTTGGAATCGGTTTGCTAATGGCTTATGGGTGTAATAGGAGGGCGTGAAGGACTCGTTAAAGAAGAAGAGAAATCGAAAGGGCGGAAACACTGCGAATGACGACGACGAAGACGAGAAGCCGACAAAGTCCGCCGGAAAGAGGAAGAGCGTATCCTTTGCTTAAAGAAATTCGAGAGTTTTTTTAACAACAAAGCAGCGACTGGCGTTATTGGAGTTCTCGAGTCCGGTTTTTATCGAAAGCAGAGTTTTTTCTTTTACCATCTATCATACAAAAAAGCATACCCATGATGACTCCATTTATACCATTTATACAAAATATATGCGAAAAAAGAGGTCAGAATCTACGCCTACCTACGTTCTACCGACATCTACAAATTCTCCTTCCTTTTCTACGACCTCCAACTCAGCCATTCTCTCCAAGAAACCCATAATCGGCTTGGGGAACCACCTTTGCATCCCCCATTCGAACCATCCCAGGTGTCCACCATATCCCGTTGTTACGAAGCAGATATACGGATTCGCCTCCGCCTCCTGCCTCGGGAATGCGTTTTGCAGCGAAATCGGATCTTCTTCGGCGTTTATAATCAAAGTCGGAACCTTAATATCGATCAATTTATCTACCGAACTCGATGCGCGATAATATTCTCCCCCGGTTCTAAAACCGAACACCGGTGCGGTAACTGCGGAATCCCAGTCGTAGAGATAAGTCGCTTTACGGGCACCTTCGATGTCGATGGCTGGGTTTTTGGAGAGCATGTCGAAGTTTCGTTCGAATAGTTTTTTGAGGTTTCCGGCCATGAATTTGGAGTAGAGGCGGCCGGTGAAGGTCATGAACATGATTTTGGCGCAGACGTCCATGTTGTGCGGGGAGGAGAGGAGAACCGCAGCATGCAGTGGGGTGGAACTGCCAGCCTGGCCAAGGTAGTCTGGAGATTTAGTTAGTAAGGGATACGTTTGTCTTGGAGGTGTGGAGGGGATGACGGACTTGCGAGGATATTTGCGCCGAGGGAGAACCCGACTGCCATCAGCGGGCGTTTTGGGAACTTTCGACGCATGAGGTTGACGACATGTTTGATATCTCTGGTGAACATTGCGTTAAACATCTTATTATCTATATTCCGGTATTAGTTCGAGATCCTCTGTAGGACACATATTGTATCATATTAAATATCTGATTGAAATCGGGGATAAAGGGAGCCATTACCCGTCAATTTCGTCCACCCGCATCCTCTCGCATTCACAACCAAAGCATCGAACCCCAATCCTCCATCCTTTTTGGGTCGAACGAGCGGTTCGAGCGTTAACCGCACATACGTCTCGTGCGATCCGCCGCTGAGGCCGTGAAGCGCTATAACCAACGGATTCGTCTCATCGTCCGATTTCCACGCTTCGAATTCATCCTCCGTGAAAAAAGTCGTGCGTGGGGGGAAATAATCCGGGTCACTTTCCGATAAGCCCTTTGGTGAACTCGATCGGTGTTTTGAGCCTGCTCCTCCTTCTCCTTCAGCCGCGGGGACTACAATGTCGATACTGAATGTTCCCGGATCATTTGGAGTTTCGGATTTTAGTAGATGTCGTTTGTAGTGGATTGGGACATGGTCGGAGGCGAATAGGATGGCACATGTTTGTAGATGTCCGTTTAGGAGGAGGGGGTGTGGGTAGTACGGTGGGATCGCAGATTTACACACTGATACTAGAGATTCGGAGACATCGGAATCCTTGGGTTTGAGGAGGACGGGAGAGGGGTGGTGATAGTATGTTTGCGAAGCGGCGAACATGGTTAGAAATTATATATAACTACTCGAATATATATGTATATAAAATATTCAAATCAGATGCTAAAAAAATATTATATGCCCAGATATGGGAAGCAAGGACTTCAGAAGCAAAGGAGAAATTGCTTATATAGTTCTTCACATCCTTATCAGAATTTTTGGCGACAGCAAGACACTGCATGCATGGATTTTCGACAAAAGCGGACGAGCCGAGGCATCTCCTAAGCTCGGGCCAACCAATTAGCCTTGATGTCATGGTTTTTGTTGATGTAAGGAGACGGGAACCTGTCAAGGTTTTTTTTTGTTTTTTGGTAGGGGATCCACGGAACTTAAGCTGCCCGAGGCGGCGGTAGTTAAGGTCCTCATCCGTTCTAGGCTACCTTGCCCGACGGAGCTATTTCGTTCAGTAAAACATTCCGTCAATATCAAGGCTAACGTTGATGTCAGTGTCAGTTGTCAATGTTGAGTATAAAATGGGCATTGCGAGAGTAAATTGGATGTTGCAAAAGACAGGCCGTATAGTGTAATGACTAGCACATTCCATCAACTGATTTATGAGGAGAAATGTCGGTTCAAATCCGACTATGGCCCTCTGCTTCCAATTGAATAGATCTATTTTTTGCTTTCCCCGCCCTCTGTAGCTAGCTTTCTAGCTCCCTTTTGAGTCAGTTTCAAGATCGAGAATATAATGGGCATTGTTGTAGAGAGCCGGTGCTGCAAGAGACAGGCTGCATAGTGCAACGACTAGCACATTCCATTATACCGAAATTCGTTTTGAGGAGAGATGTCGGTTCAAATCCGACTGTGGCCCTTTCTTTTTCTTTCTTTAGATCAAATGGTCTTTTCCCTCCCTTTTCCCTGGAGTTTTGGTGTTCCCGTTAGTATCAATGTCAAAGATATAATGGGTATGGAATGCAGAACCATATGTTGCAAGACAGGTCGCATAGTGTAATGACTAGCACACTCCATTTAGATTTACATTCAAATTTTGAGGAGAAATGTCGGTTCAAATCCGACTGTGGCCCTTTACTTCTGATCAAATTGATTTCTTTTTGGTCCTCCTTTTTATTGCTGTTATGTCCAGCTCTCTCTTTTTATCCTTTTCGTTTTTGGCTTTCGCGGAGGAAGGATTAGCCTGGTATGGACTCATTCGTGCATGCGGCTGGAAATGCATAAGCAATGCAATGCCGAAGCTAGCTAAGCAATCAAGCTTCGAGACATCCCGGTTGGAACATGGTCCTTCTGATATCTATACACCCTGTCGTTAGCTTGATTTGTCCAGATATACGATATCCATCGAATCGTAGACTTACCGTATGCCCTGCATCGTATTTTATATACATTCTATGATAGAGATATATGTAAAGAGACAGTGATGAAAGGATGATGCGTGTTAGTTGGCGTTATAAGAGCTGCGTTGCATATGACGTTGGTGGGAATGGCAAGTCCTTCCTCCTTCGCTCGTTCCCACCTTTCATCCCATCCCATCCCATCCCATCCCATCCCATCTCCTTCTTTCATCATGACCACTCCCACTACCACCTACTCTCCTTCTCCTCACCCCCTCCGTCCTCAATCCCGTCCTCCCTCTCCCTCCCCCGATAATAGACCTCACGATGTCTCCTATATCCCTCACTCCCGCCCAGTCCCACGCCCTCCTTGACGTCCTCACCCATCGCGAGACCTACACAGCTGAAATCGAGCTGTTCAAGACTCCTGGAATAATCACTTCATACGGTCCACCTTTCCAACCCGATCCACCCAGTAATAGTAATATTAAAAAGAATAATAGTAATATAAATCTTAATAAAAATGGCCGTACTGACAATTCCAAAGACGGCGGCGACGGCGACAACGGCGACGATAGCAATGCCACCGATCGAAAACAAGATAAAGGGAAACAATGCGAGCCGAAAGAAACAAAAATCGTATCGAAATCCCCGCTGCTCCAGCTCCTCTTCTCGACGTTCGTGGTACCCATCCCGGGTCTGAGGGATATCTCGCAGGATTTCTGGACGAAACGCGTCCAGCCGCTCATCGATGACCTCGCCAAGGCGAATCTGTCGGAATCGTACGATAAGGGTTCCATGGGCATCAGGAAGACGTTGGCTACCGCTATCTCGGCTTTGATAGAATACCCTGCCCGAGGGGTACTAGGCGGTATGCCCGGACGGGAGATAAAACCGGATCCGGATCGGGTGTATGATGTTCGCCATCAGCAGGATTTGGTGGACGCCTGGAGGGAGTTCATGAGACAGGTTGTGTATGGGGATCTGTTGGATGAGTTATTCGAGAAGACGGCGCAGAGTGATGATTTGCAGGCTCACAGTGATTTGGTTATTGCGGCGCACCAGCATATTGTCGTCAAGTACGTTTTTTTTAAGAATTGCACAAGAAAGAAAGTCGGGGATATTCCAAAAGCTAATCCGTAGTTCTTGATGATTACAAGTTTAGCGTCTTTGGCACATTATGTGTTAGTCACCTCGCCGAAGGGGCAGACTCTGCTGTCGTTGGTCGAGAGGACGAATAAGCTGATTCCCTACCGGATCGTTCGACAAACCTTGAGGGTTGGAAATGCGGCGACTATGATTAGCGGCATGACCCGCCTGGTGCTGGCAAAGATGAGTATTGGAACTCTCACAAATTGGATCGGTTGGAGTAGCGGAGCAGACGAGGGCATGAATCTATTCCAGACGTACGTTCCGATTCCTTTCCCTCAAACTTGGAATTCGATGGCCCTAACAAGCTATTCAGTATCATATACACCGTTCTATCCTGGGAAATCAAAGAACTCGAATCCCGAGTCACAAAACTCGAAAAAACCAAAGACTGTCCTTCAAAACAGCACCTCGCCGCCATCCTCGCCTACACAAAGCTCCCACGCGATGACCAAGAAGACTACCGCGTGATCAGTAAAGCTTCATCCACCTCCATAGTTCACGCAATAATCTCACTAGCACCTTCCTCACCTTCCCTGGACCTCACAGCAGACCAGCACAAACTCCTCCTCGAGTATTTCTCCATCCAACTCTCGATCCGTGATAGAGAACATCTGATCCTCGTTTTGTGTAAATCAAACCCAGACGTACTTACCGCCGCCGTCCGCGATATTGTACAAATATACGAGCCCATCCTCCGGGATATCCACAATGCAGTCGACCTCAGCGGCACCGTCGCCGACTTCGAACGCTTCGTAAACGATATGATCAAAACCGCCAAAATATCCCCAACCTCATCTTCAACACCAACAACCACGGACGAAAACGGAACGAAGAAACCACCAGGCGTGGAAGACTTTGTAAGATTATTCGAAAGACACCAAAAGAGCTGCCACGTCTTCCTCCACCAATTCTGTAAAAAGGGTGATATGGCGAAAGATTTATGGTTAGAATATGCGAAATATGCGGCTAGGCAGTTTCGAAGGCCTGAAGGTGTTACGGGTGAAGGTGCGGGGGGTTTCACGGCTACGCTGAATAAACTCGTCAACGAGCTGAACGAGGATGATAAAAAAGTTGTGTTGGAGCAGATGGACGAGTATGAGGAATACCTCCAAAAGCTGAATCAGAAGACGAAGAGGAGGATGGAATCTATCGTTTCATTGAACGGTAGCGGCGAGCCGAAGAAGCCGATGAAGAAGGGGCCTGGTAACTTTTTGTTCAAGTGGCAGGAATTATTGGATTCCACAGAGATTACTCCCGCTGAAGCTACAGGCGGGAAGATCAGACACGGGAAGGATACGAGTGTTAGAGCTGCCAGCGGGGTAGGGTTAGATGGTGAGAGGAGGGGTGGTGCGGGGAAGATAGTTGCGGGACTTGGTGAGATCGTGAATGGAGATGGGGTGAAGGAGATCGTGGAGATGCCGGATGTGAGCAAAACTGTAGAATTGCTGTTGCCGCGGTTTAAAGAGGTGCTTGCGAATAAGGAGTACCTTGAACAAAGAAACGACAATGATGACGACGATGACGACGACGATAGCGATTCCTTTTTCGAAGCTAACGAGGAGTAGAGTAAGTAGTGTAAGATTATTCTTCCGGTATATATGACAACATATATATTATTTGGTGGACCATTTAGCATGGCGCTTGGGGAACGTGTATTTTATCATTTTTATAGACTTTTTTGTAGAATTTCATGCGCTTTATTCGTTGAATTCGAATCTTATGACTGAACTATCCATTGGGTAGGGACGGGATGCCATCCCGGGTTTGACTCGTCGCCAGATCCCAGACAATGCGCCCTGATATGTTTACATGAGAATATCTTACAAAACGAGGAAATGGGAAAGGCGGTAAGGGAAAGAAGGGGGGGGTTAAAGGACGACCACTGAACACCGGTGAATGATAACGCTGAAGAAGAAAACCCGAAAAAAGAAACGAAAGAAAGAAAGATCCCTATTTTTCGTATGATTATATAATCATATAACCACAAAACGGGTATGGTAAAAGATTCCTCACCCTTCTGGCCTTCTAAAGCTCGTCTATAATTTGGCAGAAGGGGTGACTGAGTTGGAGCATGGTTTTTCTGCCCATAATTTTGGTAATAAAAGGGTAATTTCTCGGAAAGAAGGGAGAAATGGTGGGAGGTTTAGTGCACAGGTTGTTCGTGCTGGATCTGTGGTCGTGCAGCTTCGGTTCGTGGTTCAAATAGTCTTCTCCAGATCTCGGGTGGGTCCAAAGGTCGAGATCCGTTTCGAACAGTTGGGTAAATATCCATGAAGAAGAAGTAGACTAAAGTTGACACCAATAATTAGCATAGCTCCGTAAATTTAAGCAACATCGAGCTTCCCAGGTCAGAGTATTATACGTACTATGTCCGATGACAATACCTAATGCATCATCCTTGGGCATGTTCCCGTTGATCAACAAGCTGAACCCCAGCAGGACAAATGGAAGGTACGGCGCATTGAATACGAATAGACCTAGAAAGCTAAGCTTGATCGACGGATTCCTTCGTGCCCAGATATATACGATCGAGAAAGCGAGCGGAGAGCCAAGGAATGGCATTTGGACGAATGTCGCAGAACAAAACTGATATTTGGTTTCCCATCAGCACTCCTTTCCCTTCTATATCATTGGAAAAAGGATGAGTAAAAGAATAAAAGAACTCACCAACAAGCAAGTACAGCTGTACAACAGCAACCACGCAAAATCCGCCGTCTTCCCTCTAAAATACGTCTCCTCCAGCATGCGACTATACCGCGCCAAGAAGAACATGTGGAATATAAAGTCTACGCTCAGGGGACCAAAGTAGAGGAAAGTAGTGATCAACCGCCAGTACTGACGTTTTGAGAGTACGGCTGGGAGGGAGAAGAAGAGTTGGAAGGGAGAGACGAGGTGACATTGGCAGGCGAGAGCTGTGGCGACAGCTGCTGATGCCCAGATGCGGGTGCACACTGGGATATCGTAGAACCATTCTTCGAGAGGAACGGCGGCCATGGTGGGGGGCGAGAGTTTGTGTATTGTATAGCTCTATAACCGAACGCTAAAGGGAGGGTGTTTTGGTTAGTCGATTGGTTCGTCAGTAGACAGAGCTGATGTAGCTGGAATCTATGAATTTAAGGATGGAGGTGGGCGATGGCGATGGCGATGGTGGAGTGGAGGTCGAAGAGCCGAAATGCCGTCCAAAGTACGCTGGGACGGAGTATGAGCAGTTACCATAAAGCGACGCGGGATGACAGCCCTACGTTCCGACCCAAAACGTGGCATGTTGGATGTGTTGTTGCGTTGTTGATGATGCTTCTTCCTCATGTCGGCGGCGCAGAGGATTCTAGTTGCGTTTATAATGCGCAATCGGGTCAGGCCTAAACAAGCTCCTATAGCTCAGTTGGTAGAGCGCGACACTAGTATCTTATACATTCCTGATGTATTCGGGTAATGTCGAGGTCTACGGTTCAAATCCGTATGGGAGCATATTCTTTTGCTCCTTTTTTTGCCAGTTTTGCCCTGGCCTTGTCCTTTTTGGTCAGCCCTCCCCCTTGATGTCCCCCATTCAGTCAATCATTTTGAAAGCGTGACCGAGAGGTATAGTATGTATCTATAAAAGTACTTAAGTAGTAAGAACAAATCAAGGGACATTGTCAATGTTAATTCTGTCAAAACTATAGCTATAGTCGATTAGATCCCCGCCTGCATAAAAACCTCCCATTGTCATACTAGATCCTTTTGCGTTGAAATTGTCGGATTTTTGGCATGTTACACACGCCGTTCAGATCTACCACAGGCAGGCATTTACCTACCTCTTAGTACTTAGAGGTAGGTAGATTAGGTATCTAGAAAAACGACCGGGATACAGCTATAACTCCTTTATACCCCCCATCCAAACCGCCATTCCGGGCTTTCAAAAACATAGGTCTTGAGGTGCAGGCGGTGCGCGCCCTACTGCTAGTGTAGGGAAGCCGGTTCGATACCGGACGTGACCATTGATTCAAGTCTCTACGATCACTTTTTGCCTCAGGTTTGAAATGAAATCCTGTCTACTTTTGTAGCTGGCTTTCCGGGTGTGGTTGGGGGGGATATATATCCTATTTCGGGGAATGGTGGCGTGTACTATAGTATTCATGCCTGGAAGTTTTTCCGGAGCCCTAGCCTCCGTCGTGATTTGTATAGTATTCATGGCTGGAAATTATTCCGGAGCACCAGCTTCGCTTGTTGGTTCCCATATTTTGTCCTTTCTTTTCCTTTTCCTTTTCTTTTCCGTTTACTCAAGATTGTGGTTTTTCCGATACATGTCTTGGAAATACCTTCATAGCAGCGGACCTCGGAAGGGTCTGAGTACGAGACCACTGATAATATATTAATGGTAATAAACATCATGTCAATTATATTATCTACAGCAGCGGTAGCTATTCGATTGTTCGCAAACTCAAATATGCAAATTAATAATATGCCTACATCAGTCTCGGCACTAGACTGGTTGATCGCTTAAGCAATACTAAGTATCTTATCACAGTCAGAAAAACAGGAAAGTTAATTTTGACTAAAAACTATAGTAACCAAATTGCAAACATAAAACTCTTGAATATCCTCTTCAGATCTGACACTCTCATATCAATAGTAGCTCCTTTCCATCATAAGATTTGCACGAAACCCCCCCCCCCCCCCCCTTTTTTTTTTTTTTTTTTTTCTCACATCTTGCTCTCCCACATGTAACGAAGATGCAACATAAGAAGCTTAGTTTAAAGCGGAAGTACGAGCAGCTGGTGCCCTGAGAATGATAGAAGAGATCCACACTATACCACAAAAACAACACAAAGAAATCCGCCCAGAATAAGAATGCGCCCAATTCTGTGCCCTTTGTAACAAAATTGATACAGAGTTAGTTCATGCTTGGGGGGGGTTTGCCAATACCACAGTCTTTTTGTAGGGACTAAATTAGAACCAATGCCTGATTCCAGCAACTCATAATATACCCCGTAGGCTTATGAACTACTGAACAAAGTGATGTGCATCTGGAAATGCGCGCGTAAAGAGTCAACCTGGTGTGATATTGTTGCTGCCAGAGCCGAATATAACTGTCTGTAACACCTACGACTCCTGTCCAAACGGAGCAAAGGCTGGAGCAGTTGTACCATCGCATGAATTCGTAAGAAAATATAGTGTCTCTTTATTGCTGCTGACTATGACTTCTCTATTTGGTGCTGTCACAGTGAAGTTTAAATAGGCTTCACCCAGTGCATTACCCCATAGAATTCTAATAGGATAATATTTTCCGGCAGTTAAAAATATATCGTAGGTGAGGGGATCACCACCAATGAGTTGTTCTATGTTCGCGTTTTCTCGAGTAAACCCGCTAAAGGCAGTAGCACCAACCCAGAGAAGCGTGATATCATGGGCGGGGTAGGCACTAAAAGTGTAGGTACCACTCTGAGGAGCATATAGATAACCGCGATGATTAACTGCGGTATAATCCAGCCCTCTGACATGTGCGTGATATATCGAGTCCGTATTACTATCACCCACTATACCCACTATTGGGGTCGTTTCATTGAATAGAGGAATTGCTGTCTTGAAATACTCCACGTTGAAAGCGGGATAGCTTCGCACATCATCATTGGTGAACGAGTGACGGTAAACGGCGTATTCCAATCGATTATAACAACTCAAATCGGGCATTGGATGTGCTGTCTCAGTCACTGTGTTGATCGACGTTGAGACAAATGACAACGTGACAATGGCAGTGACGCGTACGGTTAAGGTCTTGGTGAAAGTGATGAATAATGTTTTTGGAGGACTAGTAGCCGTCACTTTCTTGTATTTCGTAGTAGTTTTGGTGATCGTTTTCGTCGAACATTTCGCTGGAGTGACATGCTTGGTAGTCCTAGCTGGTGCAGCTCCATCTTAAGATGAATATATTAGCGCTTGCTATATAATGTAGCGTTTATGAGAATACTAACAATAGCCATAGTCACGCTCTTGCAGCCCTTGCTTATCTGGAACAGCAGAGGCGACAGCGCCATATGCGAAGAATACCAACAGGAACGCTTTAATATATGGGATATACATATTGAAGTGAATCAACGCCACGTTTAAAGCGAGCCAATATGTAAATGGGATGGTTGTGTTTATGAGAATGGCGAAAGATTTTGACTGCAATCAATCGTGGAATTTATACTAAAAATTCCCAAAGAATGGCCAGGCCGAAAATATTATGAACAAAAGACTCGGACGGCCTCGAGGCTAGTCTTCTCTCATTATGGGAATTATGACGAAAGCACATCTCTTGTGATTTAGAGTCTTTTTTCGTCTAAGTAACGGAGAACTCAACGTATTACAAAAACTTTTTACAATTATTTGATCTGTTGTCCAATGATGTTATCAGAGCTTGGGCTTCACGGAAAACGCCGAGGATATTGATTCTTCTACTGTCTGCTATTTGACGCAGCGACAGGATTCAAGAGGACTTCAATTCCAGTTCTATGTTCCCCGTAGACGCTGGCCAAATTTCCAGAGGAGAAGCCATGCATGAGGTTGGATTGCTAATACTTAAACGAACTTGTGATAGACTATCTAGCCACTTGAGGTTGCATACCCGGCACAGGTCACCGTGAGTCCGAGCACAGCATCCTTCGTAAAGGCTTCGAAGGAAGGCTTCGAAGGATTCGCGGGTCCGTCGGGTTACTCGACCCGTGACTGAGACTCCACATGCACTAAGGATCCCCAAGTTGAACCGGTAAGACCTCCATGTGATTCCCCCACATTTGTAAATGCATTCCTGATTACCCCGCAGCACGTGTCCTAAATGAATTGAAATTCCAGCTCTGTATCCCGTCACATTTACTAGATAGCTCAAAATACAGGTAGCACAAGCTGGTATTCAACATCCAACTCGCAAATAGGGCGAACTAAATTCTTGCGTTTCTCGCGAGTGCAGGAAACCAGAACTGATATCGTGCTCGCACGGCGCCAGGTGAAGCTTTAACACGTTATTTGTGGGCGTCACGGTGTTCTTAGGGGAATAGGCCAACCCACCATAAGAAATGATATTTCATGCCTGTTTACCTAGGTGCATATTGTTAGTTAATTTGTGAAAAGATAGGTGTTAGCGAAGACACGTGACGACTACCTGATAACAATCTGAGTTTTATTTATGCCCGCAATAACAAGCGATGTAATTTCACGATATTTGGTAGTACAATCGTCAGGGCAGCCCAATTTGTTTCCTTGTTTTTTTGTTATTGAAAGGACCCCAAAGTGGGCGGGGATTCCCGTGGACGGCCGTGCTGAAACATGCAGATATCAGAGTGATGTATTGTAGTTTCCAACGATCATTTTGACAAAATCAGGGTATTTGCTGACCGATGCGAGATAGTCACGAGCTCGTATGTAAGATAATAATTGATTTTCCAGGCCAAAACTTGCACCATAGATAGCTAAATCTCCTAGTAGATTTTTTCGTTTAAATCTTTAATCTGCAGCCGGGTGGGTGAGAAATGAATTCAAAAGAAAGTCCCGGAAAGAATAAAACATCTTAATGCATGAGCCTACGATCACATTTGTGATATCGACCGAAAAAATTGAGCAGCCAGTTATTAGGAAGAAAGAGTTGTGACGATCGGTTGAAGATTGATAATTTAATTAATTATAGGTGATGCAGGGAGTGCTAGTTAACCGGTTGCACCAACGGTTGACGAGATTTTAGCGGCGGGAACCTTGATTTACATCAAGACTGTCTTTTAATGCAGGGACGGTTCAAGGGTTTCATGGCGCTGTGGAGTCGTCAACTGCCCCCGCGAGGTTAGGTTGGAATATTTGTTATATTTTCAAAATTTCCTTGGCATCATCCAAATCGACCGTATCATAATGGATTACGTAACAAGCTAGCTCTGCAGCTGCACAGGCAAGTTCCGACCCATTTTGATCACGATACGAAAGACCGTGTAAAGAAAAATCGGCAAGCGGTGGTACCGGTGGAAACAATGCCGGTTGCTCTAGTCTCTGTGGTGTGCCAGATTCCTAGCGGTAGTAAGTATCTTAATTCTTTACATACAAAAAGTTATATAATTGAAAGTTTAGCCGTAAATTATATTCTGATTTCTATGTGCCGCGACAATATTATTGTTATGGCAGCAGTTAAAAGTATGGTAACTTTGCATGATACCCAGAACCAAACTAGCCCATGGCGTTCGCATTTATCTAGATTTCTATCAGAAACTAACCATTCAGCTTCTAAATTATAATGATAATGAGCTATCAGTTACTTATTATAACGTGCTGAATTGTAGTACATACTTAAGAATGAGATTGCCGATAGTCACAATCCCAGCCCTTACTACTAATCCATAATCTCGAAAATTTTCACTCATATGTATAACAAGACACTTAAGTACTTACCACTATTGAAGTTATTATAACCTATTTGATACTTTATCGGTCCTTAGATTATGTAAAGCGAGGCCTAGATTTGCAAGTCA